GCCGGCCCCCGATCCCCCCACTCACCCCTCCTCCAGCCCCCCCGCAACCCCGATCCCCACTCCTCTGACCCCCCGCCCTGCCGGCCCCGATCCCCCATCACCCCTCCTCAGCCCCCCTGCCAACCCCGATCTCCCCCTCCTGTCAGACCCCCCGATCCAATCCCCGTCCCGCCTGTGCGTCTCCCCGCGCACCTGTACTCCTGTCACCCGCGGTCCGTCTCCCGGGACTCGCCACCTGCGGCCAAAGGGTTCCGGGGCCGCCTCGCCAGCCCTGCTCACCTTGCTGCCCTCGCGGAGCGGTCCCATCCCGCCTCAGTCGGGCGCGGCCCGGGGGCACCTGGCTGGGAGAGAGCGGACAGGAGACGCGCTGAGCAAGGGCTGCCGCAGGGACCCGCCGCTCTCCGCTCCGCCAGGAGTGCCGAGCCCAGCCCAGCCCAGCGCGCTGCTCCCCCGCCCCGACACGTGGTGCCGCCGCCGCCGCATCCAGGCTCTGCAGCCGCCTGACGGGCTGGCCCGCTCCCTGCTGCCTGGGGCGCTCCCGTGCAGCCTGTGGGCAGAGCTCGAGTCCTGCCCCGGCAGCTCCGCCTGTCACCGAGCCCAGGGAGCGACACCCCGGGCCGTGGGGCCCCGGCTCTGCCATTGCCGGCCAGGTGCAGCCTCCTGCCGCTCCGCCGCCTGGCAGCTCAGCGCCCCGCCGCCCCTGCGGACAGGCCAGCGCGGCCTCTGGGCTGGGAGAGGTCAGCGCCGACACCGGCAGCCTCCGGTGGGTGGTTGGCAGCAGGCGCCTCTGCCGGCAGTAGCTGTAGGCAAGGGAGGCCGGAGTTAGTTACAATTTCCCGGCCCCCCGTTTGCCGCTAGGAAGGAAGCTAAGGGGCAGGAGGGGGGAGTTGGCACTTCATCTTTAAGGAACACATTGAAAGGTACCTAAAATTGTTGTATTGTGTCTCTCCTCCATGCTTCATGTCTGTTGCCCCAGGCCCCAGCTTTACTCAGCTGAGTGGGACTACTCGATTGAGTAACAGGTTTTCTAGGATCGGAGTGTCAGCCTTATGTTGATCTAGGCGGGGGAGGAAGCTCTGGAGCCTCTGCCTAGGGAGCTGTCTATTGGGGCTGGTCTGCTTACAGGATCAGTGCCACTTACATTGTAAAATTCTTAGGGGAGGATTTTGTTTTCATAGACTGTGCCCAATACAATGGGACACCAATTCTGATTGGGATTTCTGGGTGCTGCTGTAATATAAATATTAAATAACAGTGAGTGTTTAAAAATAGCTGTTCAGAAATCAGCCCTTTTGTGGAGCTCTGGGAACCATGTAGGCAGAGTGAAAGGAGAGGTGCTTCTCAAAACCTGCAGGAGCAAACATTGTACCTTCTACTTTGCACCAATAGAAGTTGTCAGGCTAGTTGTTAAATACACAAACAATTAGATTACTAATTTATTAACCTAATAGTGGGATTAGATCCACATCTTCTCCATTGCTCCAAACTGTGCTCTGCCAATTAAAATCAAGCCAGCCCGTGCCTGACATTGCCAATATTCTCTTTCAGATCAGCCCTGTAAATCACAGATGTGAGGGGGTCATTATATTTATAAAGTCCTTTGAAATCCTTGGATAAAAGGTGCAGTATACTTGGAAAATATTACACAAGTGTATTTATTGAAATATACATTCATAGGCAGCCAGGCAGAAACACATCAGGAAATGTCCCAGACATCCACCTCTTGCAGTGACACCAGAGTCCCCATTGAAAATGCAAGACTGCAACCTTACACCTAAACCACAGAAATAAAAATTCAGTCCTCCATCCCACTAGAAAATGTGTTCCTCTTGTGTGTTTCTCTAGTGAGCTGTACATGGCATGTGTGCATAGATATCCCATATGCGCCAGCAAAGCTGTTGCAGCAATAGAAACAGCAGATTAAGCTGTGCAGCATTGCCATCACCATAGCAACTCAGCTAAGGAAAAGATGATTTAATATTCAGTCACAGCCCTCTCCATAGCTTTCCATTTGGAGCTTGAATCAGTTGCCTGCCTGATGTTCTAAGGAACAAATTATATACAAAATGAAGTCTTCATGCTGCCTTAAGATTCCTAAGTATATATCCCCTTTTATCTCTTTGGGATCTTTTTGCATAAAAATTTCCAGGGTAACATTAAAGTGATGAAACAGTCATTAATGTTCTGGCAAACATTTTATTCCCAACACTCCCTATATATGGGAATAATTCCAAGGATTTAAAGTCATATCTTTGTTCAAATAATATTAACTGTCCATTAGATCATCATCATCATGAAGATGGGAGAGATTCCATAGGACTGGAAAAGGGCAAATATAGTGCCAATCTATAAAAAAGAGAAATAAGGACAATTTGGGGAATTACAGACCAGTCAATTTAACTTCAGTACCCAGAAAAGATAATGGAGCAAATAATTAAGCAATCAGTTTGCAAACACTTAGAAGATAATAAGGTAATAAGTAACAGGCAGCATGGATTTGTCAAGAACAAATCATATCAAACCAACCTAATAGCTTTCTTTGACAGGGTAACAAGTCTTGTGAATAGGGAAGAAGTGGTCCATTGGTATACCTTGACATTAGTAAGACTTTTGATACTGTCTCACATGGTCTTGTCATAAACAAATTAGGGGAATACAACCTAGATGGAGCTACTGAAAGGAGGGTGCATAACTGGTAGAAAAAACTTTCACAGAGGGTAGTCAAGCTGGAAGGGCATATCAAGTATCCTGCAGGGATCAGTTCTGGGTCCTGTTCTGTTCAATATCTTCATCAGTGATTTGGATGATGGCATAGAGCTGTGGTTCTCAACCTTTCCAGACTACTGTACCCCTTTCAGGAGTCTGATTTGTTTTGTGTACCCCAAGTTTCACTCACTTAAAAACTACTTGCTTACAAAATCAGACATAAAAATACAAAAGTGTCACAGCACACTATTACTGAAAAATTGCTTACTTTCTCATTTGTCTAAATTACATTTTAGTTTGTACTGACTTCGCTAGTGCTTTTTATGTAGCCTGTTGTAAAACTAGGCAAATATCTAGATAAGCTGATGTACCCCCTGGAAGACTTCTGCGTACCCTTTGCAGTATGCGTTCTCCTGGTTGAGAACCACTGGCATAGAGGGTACACTTAAAAAGTTTGCAGACAATACCAACCTGGGAAGGATGGCAAGTGCTTTGGAGAACAGGATTAAAATTCAAAATGATCTGGACAAACTGGAGAAATGGTCTGAAGTAAATAGGATGAAATTCAATAAGGACAAATGCAAAGTACTCTACTTAGGAAGGAACAATCAGTTGCACACATACAAAATGGGAAATGACTGCCTAGGAAGGAGTACTGCAGAAAGGGATCTGGGGGTCACAAGCTAAATATGAGTCAACAGTGTAACACTGTTGGGGGGGAAACAAACATAATTCTGGAATGTATTAGCAGGAGTGTTGTAATTATTCCACTCTACTCCATGCTGATTAGGCCTCA